AGAGACAGAAAGCGAGAAATCACCCCCCAGGGAGGATGGCCACGCCACAATCCCTTCTCCTCCAGTCTCCTCTCGGGATCTTGGGCACGCACGCACCCACTCCCGGCATGAGCTTAAGTCACTAGATCTGGGACTCGAACCACGGTCTACTACATGGGAGTCCAGCAACATTATGCTAACTGTTGGTCCCAGGACCAAAACTCGTAAAACTGGACAACAAAGCCTAGAAGAACATCAGCCATGTTTTAGTCAAAAGTCACAGAATGCTGTTTCACCAGTCCTGTCTCATGCACTTTATCTTCTGTTGGGGTTCCATCTTCCCGATTAAATTCAGGGATATAATATTCAACTCCAGACTTGTCCCTACGATTAAGTTGGCCATTTCTTAGTTTTTGAACTCTTATTTCCTTGTGTCTGCATTTAATTTTCCTGATACAGCACTCCCTTGAGAACTTCTTGGAGATCTGGTCTGGTGCTGGTAAATTCTTTCAGGTTTTGTTTATCTGAGAATGTTCTTGTCTTTTCTTCCCATATGAAGGATAATCTTGCCGGGTACAGTATTCTTGGTTGAAATTGCTTTTCCCTTAACACTTTGAGTATATTTTCCCATTCTCTCCTCGTTCGCATTGTTTCTGATGAGAGGTCCACTGTTAGCCTGATGGGATGTCCTTTGTAGGTAACTTGCCGTTTTTCTCTTGCCAATCTTAGTATCTGGTCTTTGTCTGTGGTTTTGGTCAGTCTCGCTATAATGTGTCTTGGAGAAGATCTTCTTGGGTTGATTCTATTTGAGGTCCTTTGTATTTCTTGGGACTAGATCTTTGAGTGTCTCTCTAGGTTTGTAAATTTTTCTTGCAGAATTTCATGGAATCAATTATCAATGTCCTTATGAGTCTCTTCGCCTTCTGGGATGCCAATTATCTGGATGTTTGGACGTTTGATGGTATCTAGTATTTCTCGTATATTATTCTCAAATATTTGGGCAATTTTCTCAGTCTTCAGGGTGGATTTTTCTAGGCCAGCAATTTTCTCTTCTCTGCCCAAGATTCTATTTTCTATATGATCTAGTCTGCTTTTAATACTTTCAAGGGAGGTTTTGACTTCCTGTGTTATAGTCTTCATCTCTAACAGGTCCATTTGATTCTTTTATAAAGTAATTCCTCTTTTAGATCTTGCAAGAATTTCCTCACCTCCTGGAAGTCGTCAGCTCCTTTCTCCTGCCTCTTCTGCAGTTCATTGTCTCTCTTCTCTTCCATCTCTGTTAGCTTCACCATTATGAATATTCTAAATTCTTTATCAGACATTTCCATGATTTCCATGGAACTGTGGCAGAGTAGCTTATTTGAAAACATGTGATTAAAACATGATTTGTGGCCTGTAGACATGTAGAAACATGCTTTTGTAAGCTATCTTAATAGGGCTATTAAGAACCGTTTATATACAAAAGCAATATTTGCCTGTTGTCAATCGTTGTATTTTGTTGTTAATATTTAATATTCTGATACTGCCCAGTATTGGGCTAAAGAAAGTCACATGTGTTTATTAAATTGTCTTTTTTTAATAATTATTTTATTTTTTATTTATTCACTCATTTATTTTTTAATTTGACCAGAGAGAGACAGGGGATAAGAAAGAGAGAGAGGAAGTGAGAAAGCAAGCCACCAGATTCAGGACTCGAACCCTGGTCGGCCATGTGGGAGTGTCCAGCGCCTTAATCACCATGCCACCTGCTAGTTCTTAAATTGTCTTTTTAAAAAGATTAAAGAAATTATATGGAGCCAGTTATTTTTATATTTTTAGACAATTTACATTTAAAAACAACTGGCTTTCCATTTTAATTTTTCTTCCCTTACTTTTTTTGCATTTCACTTTCTTTTTCCCTGGAAGGGGAAAATGAGATGCAAAAAAAAAAAAAATGGAGAGGAAGAAAGTGTAATGCAAAAATAATAAGGGAGGAAAAATTAGAATGCAAAGCCAGTTTCTGGATGTAAATTGCCTAAAAATATAGAACGACTGGCACCATATAATTTCTCTAACCCTTTTAGGGAAACAATTTAATAAACACATGTCACTTTCTTTAGCCCAGTACTAAATAGTATCAGGGTATTAAATGTTACCAACAAAAAAACCCATTAACAATCAAATATTAATCCTTATAAATGCTTAATAGCCCTGTTAAAATAACTTACAAAAACATATTTCTGCATGTGTCTACAAGCCACATGTTTTCAGATCACTCTTCACAGAACTATCTGTGGATGAAGAGGAGTTACTCTTTTCCCTTGGAGGAGAGGAATTTTCTTGCTTTCCCATATTTCTTGTAGCCCTACGGTGATTTCTAGTCCTCTGATGGATAGTGCATTTTCTTCCCAAACTTGAAGTTCAATCACTCGAGTTTGTGGGCTGGAGGCTGAATTATCAGTGGACAATCTTCATTTCTCTTATTCCCCTGAAGGTGTCTTCTCTCTCTGGGTTTCTTGTAAGGAAGGAATTACACAGAGATTGTTGAGAGGGCCCTGAGACAGACATTGGGACAGCCACGCTTTGACTCCGGGGGCCAGGACGTCCCCTGAGTATGGGAGATGCCGGCCACTCCATCCTCGGAAGCTGAGCTGAGGCCCCTCGGGGCACCTCCTGGCCCCAGCGCGAGCCCGGGCCACTGGGATAGTGGCTTCAGGGACACAGGGACTAGCAGCTGAGCCGCGTGTGTGCAGTTCTGCAGCGTGGCCTGTCCACACCGCTGCTGTTTAGAGCAGGGCTTCCCTCACCCGTGCGAGCACGAGGTGAGGCCAGTGCGTGTTGGCTCTGCTCGGTGTGGCCGTCACGAGGCTTCGCGGGGTCAAGGGTCTTGGTCTGCAGGGTTGTGACCCAAGCTCTCGAGCCAGAACCGCTGATGTCATTGTAAGGACCGTCCGCCGCTGTCAGGCATGGTCTGGTCGCTGTTGCCCCAGCCTCGGGTTCCTGGGAACTGAGATCGGCCCGCTGTGCCTGTCTGTCTGTCCGTGTGACACGTACTCACCTTGTCCCCCGCCCTGGCTCCCCGACAGCCGTCTTGGTAGGCTGGAGGGGGGTCACGGGGCTGCCTGTGCCGCGTGTCCGCGTGCATGGCCAGCGTGGCCTGTCGTGACTCAGTGCTGTGGGCTCGCCTTCATTCCAGGAAGCGGCAGAGGGAAGAAGAGATTGAAGCTCAGGAGAAGGCCAAGCGAGAGCGGGAATGGCAGAAAAACTTCGAGGTAACCCCAGGGCGGCTTACTCCGGGTGCAGGGGACCTGGGTCCTGGGCATCCCAGGGCAGGTGGGCGGGCAGAGGGAGACGGTCTGGGGCTGTGAGGGTCCCTGAGTGGGGTAGAGGGTGGCACCCTGCCCTGCCCGCTGTGTGGGCTCTAAGCAGGGACCGCAGGTCCAACGGTGGAGCTGGGCCTTCCCCAGATCCAAGGAGAGACCGAGGTTCTCATGGCCCAGGGTCTGCCTGCAGGGACTAAGGGGCTTTGAACTTGGCTTCCTGGACACACTGGCCACTCCCTCCAATGCTTGGCTTCCTGGAGGTCTCCGACCTCGGCCACCCCATCTGCCTGTTAGGACTCGGGGTGTGGTGGTGACCTTGCCTCTGTCCCAGCCCATCCTGAAGGGGAGAGTAAGCCAGCCCCTCGATACCCAGCACAGCTGGCCAGATGCCTTCCTGGCTCAGGCATCCCCACGTGTTTTGGGGTGGCGGGAAGAAGTCGTGAAAAAGAGGCTGAACTGCTGGCCAGCCTCAGCTCTGAGTGACAGCCGCTGTGAACCTCGAGGGCTCCTGGCGACATTAGCAGGGCCGTGTGCTAAGGACCCCCCCAGGACCCCAGCCAAGGAGCCTCATCTGTCCGCCACCACCCTGTCCTCTTCCGCTCCCAGCTCGTCCTGCCCTCGGGCCGGCCTCACCCCGCCCTGCCCCCTCCCGGCGGGTATCGGCGGGTATCAGGTGCTTTCGGGTGCCCAGCCCTCCCTCTCTGACTGTCTTCTTGCTTCCCGTCCGTCTGTGCTCAGGAGAGTCGAGACGGCCGTGTGGACAGCTGGCGGAACTTCCAGGCAACTACCAAGGGCAAGAAAGAGAAGAAAAACCGAACCTTTCTGAGGCCGCCCAAGGTGAAGATGGAGCAGCGCGAGTGACCCGCCGCGCCGCCCCTGTCCCGGAGGACTGTCTTCCCTCTCCTTCCGCCCCAGAGTAGCCTTTGCTTTTTAGCCCGTTTTGTTTTCAATACAATTTAATATTGATCAAAGTAATTCTTTTGTACATTGAGATGAGGGGCTTGGTTTAAGAAAGACTGCCCTGCACCCCACTAGAAAGCGGGTCGGGAGGTGCCCCTGGTCCATGGCGGTAAGGAACCGGGGCCTGTGGTGGGAGGGGGTTTTGTGCGTAGACCCGGAAATCTCCCAACTAAACGCACGGCTTAAACTGGTGTCCCGTGGCCTCGGAGCCCAGCCTGGGCCACCTCGGGAGCCTCTCCCCACACTCGCTCCCTCTGCGCGTGCGACTGTCGGGCGGCAGCAGGGCTTTGTGGGTGCGCATAGCAGCGACGGAGGCCCTGCCCTGGCCAGCATGGCGGGAGGCTCCAGCCACCCCAGCTGGTTCTGGTCGGAGAGCCAGCCGACCTCCCACACCTGTGTCCCGCCCGTCCATATCTGATGCTGACAGTGTTCTTACGTTCAATAAACTTTTGTACCCAGACCGCGGGGTGCTCTCCTGCAGCTGTTGCCTGCTTGACCAGCCCCTCCCCGGCACCTGCAGACACTGTCTGTTCGTCCGGAAGAGGGATCGCCGGCCGGCCAGGGCGTGGTGGCAGGGCTGTGAGGTGCTGGGTCCACGTGTATGCTCAGGACCAAGGAGGGCCTCGAGTTCTGGGGAGGAGCATGATCCTGAGGGTTAGTGACAGCGCCTGAGGGGTCCTGCGCCCCTGCTCCTGCGGAGCTCAGTGTCTGCTCCAGGTGGGGCCGCTGGCCGACAGGTGCTGGGTGACGCGAAAGGAGTGACTCCCAGTGCTGGGCTGGGGTGTGCACGGGGTGCTGGCCCCAGCTTTGGGGACGGGGCTCCTTGGAGGGCAGTGGGCTGTGGGGGCCTCCCTGGCACGGTTGCCAGAAGGGAACAGGTCTCGGCCGCCGCCTGCAGCTGGCTGTTGCCTGGGACCACTGCAGGCAGGTCGGCCCTGGTTGGGTCCGGCAGGCGGGCATCCTGGTTTGGGCCAGTGCCCTCCGCCCTGAGCACCCACAGCCCTCGTGGTCGTGTGGAGATGAGCTGTCCCTGGAACACCCGATGGCACCGGTGCGGCCTGGACCAGTTCTGGTCCTCAGCCTGAGTTGGGTGGAGCATGGTGGAGCACGACCGGCACCCGGCACCTGGACTGCCTCTCCCTGGAGGCTTGTGGCCTGGGAGGACGCTGCAGTGAGCACCCCTCGGCCCCTGGGGCTCGGCTTCAGGACCCTGCTGGTCATTTCCCCTCTGCAGTCTTCACTGCCTCCTGTTGGGCACAGCGAGTAACAGCACCTCTGCCCTCCGGAAATGCTCGCTGGTGAGACACTGTGGGCAGAGCTGACCTCCCACCTCCCACCTCCGACCTTGGGCTGTAGACCACAGGCCTGCGACCTTTGCGGTGGCCCCTCTGAACTGAGACTTCCTGCCAGTGTCAGTAGCTTGGTGCCGCTGGCAGCAAGGCTGGCCGGCGTCCTGCGCGTCAGGTGCACACACCCTCCCCTGCCCTGTGCACCCCCTACACCCCTGCCCCAGGTCCCTGCTCCAAGAAGCTCGGGGAGCTGTGGGCAGAGGACATCTGGGAAACTCGAGGTCCCCGTCTCCCCAAAGCTTTGGGTTCAGGCCGTTTCTTCTGTGGCCGGGAAGGACGTTGCAGTTGAGGCACAGCCACCGCCATGGCGTGCAGTGCTGGCGAAGCCTCAGCTGCCAAGGTGGAGCCCCTGCCAGGCGCCTGTGATCTCGCACCACTGGGGCACTCACAACCGAGAGCTGCAGCTTTCTGCGAGTCTGCTGTGGCTGAACCGAGAGGAAGGCACAGAAATTAGGACTCCATGGACGATTTTGAAGAGATGAGGAAGGCTGCTATCTTTCAGCGTACAAAGTGACTTTGGAATGGAAAGACTGTCATTGGATTGGCGCCGTGTTCCGGAACTCCGAAACATGAATACGTGGGCTAAAGAATAGTTTCTCTTGATAAATAAATACCGTGGGCAGCTTACGATTCGGATTCCGGAGTTGGAGTGTGTGTAGGCAGTTGTGTTTGAGCACACTCCCAGGTTGACTCGGCCGGGGCTGGTGCCCCTGGGGATGGACAGCCAGCCTTCCACGTGATGGGGCTAGGGCTTGGGGGAAAGATGGGCCTTCAACAGACGTGGGGTGGTGGCAGAGCTAGGGAGATCTCCAGGACCTGGCTCCTCCCCAGCCCGCTCCCTGCACCACCTCTGCCTGGGGCCAGCTGGTGCCTGCCACAGCTCCAGCTCCTGGGCCTGAGCTGGGAGGCCTTTTAAAAATCTGCACTTTGACGAGTTCTCCAAATGCACCTACTGGGGAAAGAGCTGACCCCGTCTGGACAGGGCAGGGGCTCGGGCTCGTCGAGTGGTTTCCTGTCCTGGATCTGCAGGCAGCAGGTGGCTGTGCCCGCCCGGTGCCCAGCACACGGGCTCCCTGGTACTCACCGGCAGCGGTGGCGCTGGCCCATCCCACTGCACCGTGGCCCGCGTTTCCTGCCTCCAAGAACCGAGTCTGCCCTGCGCTCGCAGGCCCACTCGGATACCACGGTGTGCAGCCGACCGGGGACATG